ATATATTACATATAAAAACATAACAAACCAATTAAACTCACAAGTAAGGAACAAATAATAGAAGATTATTTATATTGAATACAGATAATAAAAGTAGCAGCAGAAGAGGGTTTTATATTGTTTCTTTCATTGTTTCATTCTCTTTCTTTTGTCTGACTTGTTTCTGTCTACATTTTTGCAGCTTCTCTTCATATAAATATGAACTCCACAAAATATATAAAAAATGTGTCACAACTGAATCACCAAAGCCTTCCTCTGTAAAGCACATACCCAGCTGGCCAATGCTAAACTGAAATAATAATACTAATAATACTACTACTAATACTACTACTACTACTACTACTACTACTACTAATAATAATAATAATAATACTACTAATAATAATAATAAATCAATGGTATGAGAGTCCTTAATGGCTCAGTCCCTGCACCTGTTCAATTTGTATCTGCTCCTATTAGCACAACAACAAGCAAGACACAATAATGTCTGGTATATGAGTTATTTGCCTGTTATCTCAGCTATCTTTTGTTCTTTCTGTCTTCTGTAGGAAGATATCTGCTCAAAGATCTCATCTGACAAAAGACAGAAGATGCATTATTATCATCAAAACAGGCTTTTCTGACAATGTCTTATATGCAAATAATAATAATACTAATAATAATCATATATTTTTTGTTTGTTTGTGTTTTAGACGAATAAAAATCTCAAAAAAGAAAATGTTTGTCTTGGACCATATTTCTTCTTTGTTTTGTGGTGTTTTCAGCTGATCTGTGAGTTTGCTGCAGTCCTCTGCTGTCTTTATGGCTTCAGAAATCTTCAGCATAGAGGCTCTTGCAAGATTTCTCACACTATATAGCCCAAAAAGGAGCAAAGCAGGTCTGCATAAATGTCTGCAGCATTTGCATAGTTAATACAGCTTTACTATGAGCTACTAATATGATGTGTGCTGTCTGCTTTGAGAATTACTGACACAGCACAATTCAGATACTTACATTGCTTGATTTAATCGTGAGAAAGGTCTTCACCTTTTTGTGGCTGTTTTTTTTTTTCAAGATATACACTTGAGACATATTAAACAAACATGGCTTGTGTGCGTGTGCGTGTGCGTGTGCGTGTTCGTAAGTTCATAAGTAGGCCTAATAATGAAAGCATTCAGTGTTTTAATGCAAGTGAATCCAGTTGTACCGGTTCTTCTGTTCATTGAAGGAGCAGCTGATCTGTGCTTCACAGATTTCACAGACATTATCAAGTGTATTGGATGGCATCCCAATAATATTCTACAACTTTAAATAAGCAAAATATAGTACTGTAGTTTATATTTTAAAATGTATTATTATATTTATTTTATTTTACTTGTATTTGTATTTATTTTTTACAAGTAGAAGTTTCAGTAGACTATTCTGTTCTATTGTATTTTCTCTTATAGTAAACTTTTCTTGTATTTTATTAAATGAGTTATTGCCAGAGCAGTGTGAGTTTAGGACATTTCTGTGCATTAGACACTGGAATATCATACAGCTTTATATCATATATGTAAAAAAATGCCTTCCATTTACAATGCAAGTGTAAGAATGGTTCAGTGTACTGATTTCTTATCAAAACCTCTTTGTGTTCAGAACTGAAAGTGAGAGAAAGAAGAGAGACATGGAGGAGAGATGGAGATAAACCAGCACACATCAGGACAGATGAGCATACATTCAAATATATTTGTCCTTTGGTTGTTCCTTCACCTGATCCAGGGGCGGATTTAGTGATTTGGGGGCCCCAGGTTAAATACAGGAATGGGGCCCTATACAATTTCACACATCTACAACCTTGAGGTTTCTTTCACTGTTGATCGCTGCTGCACGACCGTGTCCCATAGTTGTGTGTAATCTTTTAGATTTTTCATGTACATGTTATAAATAAAGGATGTATTTTATGTTGTAAATCCCTTGTTCACTTTTAAACAGGTTATAATAGTATTAGAGTAGGTTGGACACTAGGTGGTGCGTTGGGGTAATTTTCACTGTGCAATTGTCTACACAACGCAAGGCTGTCTAATTCTAAACTTTAAAATATAATTTTTTTATTGATTTTAATTGCACATTTAAATAAACAAGAACGCTGCCCGTTTCTGCGCTGCTTTGTGTACAGTCATTACAGAGGAAACCGCTTTGTTTCTACAGTGAAAGCGCCTCCTGCTGACCAATGATGGAAAATTTACCAAATGCGAAAATTAACCCATGTTTTGACACTGCAAACACACAGAGTTGTAAATGTGAACAGGTGGATCGACAAGATAATGCATTATACAATTAAGACAAAGTATATTTATATTTGTGGCAGGAGGGGCGGGGTTCAGCGAGGCCTGCATTGGGAGAGAGAGGCAGGAGACGAGCGGTGCATAAGTGGGTCAAGTACAAACGATAAACACCTGTGTCCTGTTTCAGTAATTGGTGTGGAGAGACCGGATAAAAGAGCCCACCTGGAACAAGATGGGGAGAGACAGTCTGGGTACGTGAGCGACCCGGGAAGACGGGTGTAGATACACGGAAGCCAGTTGCATTCTGTTTGTTATGAGTTATTGACTGTGAATCTTACCGTGCTGAGTGAGCGCCGTGGTGTGTACAGTGCGGGAAGGAATTTAAATAAAGCTTGCGTCCCAGCAAGCCGACCCTGACTTCTTCCTTCTACCCTCTTGAACATTTGTTACAATATTGTTATTTAATTAATGCAATAATTGATTTATAATAATCGTTTAAATTTATATCATAATTGATACAACTCATCCATTTACTTAAAACTTTTTTGTTTTGTGAAAACCTGTAAGTCATGATTTTTACAGTCATTTTACAGTTAAAATGTTACCATAGTCATTGCCCTACTACGCTCATATATATTTTATTTGTGCGTTTGGTCTTAAAAAATAGCTTAAGTCTTATATTTGAGTTTTAAAATCCTGCAGATACTGAGTTTAAGGTGACTTTAGGGAGCTCTTTTGGTCCCTTAAATGAATTAAGGTGAAATGGTTACTAAGGACTTTGTAGCAAAACTTAAGGGAGCACTTAAATAATTAAGGGGGATACTTAATGGCAGCCTTAAGGTTCCTTAAGTTGACCCTTAGGTTTTTTTCTTGCAACCCACGTTTCTCTAAGGTCTCCCTTAACCTTATAACTACGGGATTTCTTGGCTTAAGGGCTTTCATGCAACCGGGCCCTGAGCCTCACTTTATGCAGCAGATCATGGTGCCCTTGAACAAACGCCCATAAACTTTTGGCTCATAGAGCGGCTTCCGTTCTGAGCTAATAGCACAGCGCTATTGGATTCAGTTCCCTATAAGCTTCAGTGAACTGATGTAACGTGAAGTGAACCGTATCAACAGGGAACATTTGAGGTTCCATGAGATAACGGGAACGAGCATTGCGTAGCTTACCATGCTTCCACATGACACAGTGAGACATGCTAGACGCTTCTCAGTCGAAAGGTTCTGACGATATGGTATTCCAGCATGACTTATAGGCAGTCAACACAGCCCTTCTTTGTGGGCTGAAATGCCATTTGTCTGCGCAGGTACACAGACGTGAACCAATCTGTCACGTTGAGTTTTGTTTTGTGTTCATGTTTCCATGTCTTTTATTTTGTGATTTTGCTGTCATCCTTGCCCGCATGTGTTCCTTTAGTCCATGTGTCTTGTTCTCATTGGTTCATTGTCTTGTCATGTGGTTATCTGTTCTGTTTATTCATTGGTTCCTGTTTCTTACTTGTGTTTGGTCATTGGTTGGTTTCATCATGTGTTCCCTTTGTCTAAGTATTTAAGACCTCTTGCTTGCCATGTTAGGTTTTGTGTACTGATGTTGTAACCCTGCTGTCAGTGAGTTGGTTTTGTCAAGCCAATGTCAAGTCAAGCCAAGCCTTTTTGGATTACTGTATGTTTTGTGCCTTCGTTGTAAATAAACTGCACTTGGGTTCACTACACTTGCCTACAGTTGGACTAAATTTGTTACACAAGATGGCTGTGTGCATGTTTCTGTGGCTCATAAGATAATACAGTCCTGCAGGTATGACGTCAGACTAATTCGCCACTTGTTCCTTTGAGTTTTTCCTATGTTTTTTTTTTTTTCAATTTATAAGTAAAATAAAGCCTCTGGTAAACATAACACATACATGGACAAACAAAGTTGGGGTTTCAGATACATGTCTAAACAGTCAAATATACACAGAAATAAGGCCGTCTTGGCAAGCATTTACAGAAAGATTGTCAGTTATGGGAAGGAAATCGGATATGTGTCAGTATCATGTATTCGGTCTTTAAGCCTACTGCAAATACATGCTGCTGTCTATGTCATTACCGTCAAACAAAAGTCAAAAGACAAAGAGAAAATCACTCACTGCTCTTGACTGAATAACTTTAGTAGCTTTAATAAGAATCAATGTATGTTTGATTCATACAGTTAAGATTATACAGTGTTTTAAAGTTTAACTCAGGTTTTAATTACCATTTTGGCAACTGATTATTTAATGCACCACTGTGTTTTAAGTTCATAGGCTTGTTCGACTCTGAATATTCTCAATAGTACAAAATTTAGAATATTGCGATTCAGATCGTGATTGCTTGTTACAAGTTTGTGATATGATATTTTGGCCCACCCCTACTATAAGTAAAACATGATTCTAGTTTTGTGCCAATAAACCCTGTTTCCCAATTTTGGCTCACTTTAAAATATTACATAGATATATCAAGCACAAAATACAGTAATTCCAAGCAATCACTGAAACATAATTTGTAAACAGTGACCCTACCAAGTTGCTTAAAGATGTTTTACAGATAAATATTTTTTACGTAAAGAAAAGTTGCTGGTTAATTTTTCCATAAGCCTTAGTGCTCCTCACCCAAGTCGTGACACAGACCAGTGATCTGAACACACAGGAAATCCTGTTTGGTGATCTTGAGCTCTGGTTGATTGTCATGAAGAACCTTCACCAGACGTCCTGATAAATACGCCACACTCACACACACACACACACACACACACACACACACACACAACACCACTACTGTTTACTTCAAGATCAAAAACATGGAATCTAACAAAAATATTAAATATTTTATTTGTTTACTTGCATATCATATGACCATTAACCAACATCAGAGAACCACAAATGTGTTGTCAAATTATTAAAATATTAACTTAAATAGCCAACTAAAATGTCAGCTCTGAATATAATAATATCTCACCCAAGTGAGTGTTCAAAGCGATTGTGGGAAGCGCCCGGATACACCAGATATGTTCCTCCCAGCTGTTTGATGCGTCTCAGTCTCTGAAACTGAGGAGTATCTGTGATCTTCACCAGCAGGGGGTGCAGCTCAATGTGACCATGGATGGGGTCGTTGAAGATCTCCAAAATACAAAACAATATGCAATGTAATTCACGACACATGTTCAAATCCATGTTGTTGGTCAAATTAATTTTGTGACCCATAAAATCCCTTTAGAGGATTAAATAGATCTCATTCACACAGCATGTCATAGGAGAAATGCATCCTGATGGGAATAAAACTATTAATTTCAACGTTAGACAACAGTATTCAAGATAAATCATTGTTTGCTGCATGGTTTCATTACTAATTGACTTTCTTTATGAGTGAATCATTGAGTCAATCACTCAACTGGTTCTTTTGAAGCAGTGATTTATTGGTTCATTCAGGTATTAGATTGTTCGTTGAGTTTGTTTGGAAGATATTGTTTTGTCGGTGGAGCAAAAATAAACAAGTAAAACACACATTTAAGCATTTTCTCCATTAATTATGTTTTTTTCCACAAACAAAAGTGAATAATACATTCATCATGTGTTCATGAGAAACAAGACTTTACATTTCTGTCAGATGGTAAAGAATTACAATCTACATTTACTACATAGATTATCATCAGTGCTGCTAAACTTGTGTGTTTCTTCATGGAAGTGAAGAGGCAGAATTGTTACATGAGTAGTTTGTTTACCTTTATTTGTTCTTTTGAGAAGTCTAAGGAGTATTTCTTCAGGATGTCCTGCAATTCATCTTTGATAATCTCCCATAACTGTTGTTTTTCAGCCTCTGGAAAGGCACAAGATTTAGTATCATCAGTGTCAAATATATGTCTTAATTTATGTTTCCTCAGTTTGCAAACACAAGCGAACATTTTAGTAATGCAAGAGTGAATCTGTATTGGGCAAGATATTCCAGAAAAGTGGTTTATATTTGTGTTCATTTCACCACTAATATAAATTATTCTGTCAGGACCACTATTGTCAATACAACTTACGATTAGCATACATTTTAGGTTGGGGGAATGGTTCTGTTCTGGGCAAACACTCCCTGCCCATCCACGCAGCCTGACATGGATAGGAGCAGGGAGACCAGAATACCCCCCTAGGGTAATAGAACAGAAACAACATCAATGATAAATGTAGCAGATACCATTAATGTTCTACGTGATTATTTTAACAACATGATTCAGTGGTCTGACTCAATTATATATTCACTGCCAAGTCCTGACTGGACGAGAGGAGGAGCTGGGGATGGAGGTGAGTGACTAGTTCCTGAGCAAAGCGATAGCTGCTGAATAATGACTGAAGGGACCTTATGAATGAAATTATGATTGGTGTTCTGATCCTATAGGTAGACGTGGATCAGCTGAGTGTCAGCTGATGCGAGCTTGACTAACATGGCCTGCCAGAACTATCGCTACTCTCCATTTCTGTCAGGACCACTATCGTCAATATAACTTACAATATAACAACATAACTTTTCATCATCAATGAACGTTACAAAAATATTGTGCACATTGCCACGCGAAACGACCTTGCGTGCACTCAAAGCGAACTTCCGCCAAAACACCGCGATGAAGTCATATTTGCTGCGCGCACCTAAGCGAACTTGCGGATGCGTCGAGTATAAATCAGCCTTTAGGCTATCGGGTGTTTCTGCAGTGCTGGTATCCGGGTAAACTTGCGACAGCAAGAAGCCTATGTTAAGCTATTGTTCAAGGCCGTCAATTATCTGTGTTATAATTATATGCCGTTTTATGGATGCTAAGCTTAGGCTAGGCATAATCTGCGATCTCTAAACCTGTCATTGCTTGCTCTATGGCTGCAGTACGTAGTGTTTGCTACAACTGCCAACTACGCTGCAATCTAGTGGATTCAGCATCTTAATTAATATCAGGTTGCTTTAAAAAGGGTCTTGCTGCTCTTCTTGGCTGCTATTAAGAAGAGCACCCCTTCACTGCACTGTCAAATTCTCAAAGGGGCAAGCTGCTCTTCCTACCCGCTCATAGCAGAAGAGCACCCCTTCGCCGCCACTCTCCTTCCGTAAGGCATTCAGTTAGATTACTATCAAAATTTTGGTTGGGGGGTTCAGCATATGGTTGGAACTAATCAGACGGCGAATTCCATCTCCATAGAAAGCATTTAACCTGGATTTTCGACAGGATTCCCACAGAGTATCTCTCCAGTTTCAAGTTGTGAACTTAAGCGAATTCACCGCATTGTATGTCAAGCCGATAGACTGAAGTGATCTGAGAGACCACAGCTCCTCGCAATTGATATAGACACTTTGCCTACAATTCTTCGCCGAAGTTGTGCTAATACGACTGCACCAACAACTTTACACAAGATCTGCTTCCTCGCTGGAAGAAGCAAGATATTCAAGAAAAGTTCAAGCATCCACGTAACAACTGGCCATTTCACCTTTATTCATCTCTGAATGTCTTCACGAAGCTAAGCAAAGTTTCTTTCATTTTATTGCCTTACGCTATGTTGGCGAACATGCTTCAGATATTGCTCATTGTCTAAGGCTAGTTGTTCAGTTATGTTTGCTAGGCATGCTATCGTATTGCCACACTGGTAACATTACCAGTTAAATTTACCAGCGAGCCTTGTTTAATCTGTTGTCAAGGCTGTCAATATGAAACAGGCTTGCTGCTTTAGGCTCATCATTCAGGATGCTTTCATTAAACTTATCTGACTATTTCCAGCACGCTGTGTTTAAGTCATATCGGTAATATGCTTGAAACTTAATGTGCATATCGTAAATTTGCTTCTAAAGTTGTATCAATGCTAAACATTATGTGGACAAGGGATTATTTTCATTAACAGCTCCGCTTCTGAAGATGCACGAGTTCAAAGTGACTCTAGCCAAACATGCACGTCTGTGCTGGCATTTGTGTGAAACAGAAGCAGTTGATGTTAAGTTCAAATTCCACCAGGTGCACTTTCAATGCTTTGAGGGAAAACAATGTTGTTGTTGTTGGTTTTTTGCATAGTTTGTCCAAGGCTTTTAAATTGAAATATGTTTTATTTTTATTGTATACAAATAGAAATATAATTCATTTAGATACTATTTATACACTATTTGCTTAAAGTTGTCTTGGTTTTGATTAATTACTAATTCATCAACTCATTCATCACATGAGAAATCTTGTACTGGCAAATTACTTCTTCTCACCGGTGATTCCCGATGGTTTTAGAGGACACTTACTCCTCGTCGCCCCTTGTTGTTTCAAAGAATAGTACAACGGCGAACGCAACAAGTATAACGCCCCATTCACACGGGGCATCGGAGTCAACGCCTCTCATTTACTTTGAATGAATGAATGAAAACTTTTCAAGCACCAACTGTGTGAATGTACAGTAAGTACATTATGTACAGTAATGTACAGTAAGTACAACCTTTAAGGCTGACTTATACTTCTGCGTCGGACCTACGCCGTAGCTTACGCATAGACGCACACCCATACGCCGTAGCCTGACATGCACCTCTCCAAAAATCTAACAGCGTGTCAATTCTACTCAGACCGCAAGCGCTGTGATTGGTCTGTAGAACCCCTCGCTCCGTATGTACTTGAGTTTTGTGTGTGTTTATGTGCACTTTAATATATTTTAATGTTACACCTTCTTATATAAAATAAAACAAAGCAAAGAACAAGTGTCTTATCATTTATTATACTACATAACATTATACATCAGTAGTTGTCCGCAACAAACAATGTTGATCTGCCGTGGTACAAGTCCTTGTGCAGATTGAAAGAATGCCATCATCTCCTGTTCCATTGTTGTCTCCTTTTTGTAGTTTTAAATAATGATTTAATGATTTAATATTTATATGCAGGCTTACGCACAGACGCACACCCTACGCCGCAGCTTACGCACAGACGCACACCCTACGCCGCAGTTTACGCACAGACGCACACCCTACGCCGCAGCTTACGCACAGACGCACACCCTATGCCGTAGCCTGACGTGCACCTCGTGCACCTCTCCAGAAATCTAACAGCACGTCAATTCTACGCAGACCGCAAGCGCTGTGATTGGTCTGCAAGAACCCCTCCCTCCATATGTACTTGAGTTTTGTGTGTGTTTAAGTGCACTTTAATATATTTTAATGTTACACCTTCTTATATAAAATAAAACAAAGCAAAGAACAAGTGTCTTATCATTTATTATACTACATAGCATTATACATCAGTAGTTGTCCGCAACAAACAATGTTGATCTGCCGTGGTACAAGTCCTTGTGCAGATTGAAAGAATGCCATCATCTCCTGTTCCATTGTTGTCTCCTTTTTGTAGTTTAAAATAATGATTTAATGATTTTATATTTATATGCAGCGGTCACGGCTATAATGCTTCTCCGACGAGCCGCTTCTTCTTCGGCTTTTGCCATGGTACTGCGGGTTACACCAGCAACATGCCCGTGGACACTGCTGACTAGCGGTTTGCATGTGTACTGCACGTTGACGTGGACAACGGCGCAGATGTATAAATGAAAACTGACGCATAGCCTACGGCGTAAAGGCTACGATGGAGGTTTGACGCAGAAGTATAAATCAGCCTTAAGCCTTGTCTGTTTGGGAAGTTGCGTGCGCAGTCAGCGGAGGTTGGCGAAGCGGAGCCAGGCGAAAGTATAAATCCCACTTAAGCAACGG